AGAGAGTCCTCGGGGGCTCCAATGGGCTTCTGCCATGGCTCCCGTGTCCTTCCTTGTCTTAAAGTACAAACCATGTTCCATCCCCCCTCCACTCTATTCTCCATCCAACCTCCACCTCTGCCCTCTTTCTCATCACCCAGGCCCTCCCTGGTCCACCGCACTAACCCTGAAAAAAACATGCCCGGGGGCGGGAGCAATAGCACTGTGGGTAGGGCGTTTGCCTTACATGCAGCCAACCCGGGTTCGATTCCCAGCATTCCATATGGTCCCCTGAGCACTGCCAGGAGTAACTCCTGAGTGCATGAGCCAGGAGCAACCCCTGTGCATCACTGGGTGTGACCCCAAAAGCAAAACAAACAAACAAAAAAGCAAAAAAAAAAAAATCATGTCTGGCCTGAGAGATGGTACAGGGGGTAGGGGGCTTGTTCTGCACACCACCGGCCTGTGTTCCATCCCCCGCAGCACATATGGTCCCTCAGGTGCCACCAGGAGTGGCCCTCGACCACAGCCAGGGCCAGGAGTCAGCCTGGTCAGCCCAGAACATGGACGGGTGTGGCCCCCAAAAAATCAAAAAATGGAAAAAACAAAAAGAACAACAAAAAAACAATGGTGTGAACTGTTTTTACAAAACTCATCTTCTCTGAGGCCGATGAGTGTTCTCAGATGTCACTGCCCTCACCTTCCTTTTGATAAATGAGTTCTTGGGAAGGCCTGTGGTTTCCCCAGTGTGACTCAGTCCCTGTTGCCACAGGGACTCCTGGGCCACTGAGTTATTCATCTCCAGGGTGTTACAACCCACCCGAAAGGAGGCCAAGGCAGTAGGGGAAGTACAGCCTCCGGGAGAAGTGGGAAAGATGAGTGTCGGGAACCTGACAGTCGCACATCAAACCATGTGAGCAAGTCTCCATTGCGTGTGGAGCCAAAGCAGAGAACCAAGACAGAGAGGCTGGTGAGAGTTTTACAGAGGGCTGAGCCCTTGCCTCACACACAACCAACCTGAATTAGACAGTTTCCCCAGGCACCAGCAGGAGAGATCCCTGAACACAGAGTAAGCCCTGATCACTATGGGGGTACCCTCCAGTCCCCCCAAAAACCAACCCCCAAAAAAGAGAGACATACAGGAGGATCAACTTTCTATGGGAGTTCAAAGGTCGGCACAGTTTCACAGGGTCCTTTAGGAATGTGTCAACAAGAAGCAAAAGCAGAGATCCATAAGAAAGGAAACAAGGGCTGGAGAGACAGTACAACAGATAGGGCGTTTGACCCAGTTTGATCTCCAGCATCAAAATGGTCACCCAAGCACCGCTAGGAGTTAATTCCTGAGTGCAGAACCAGGAGTAACCACCTCTGAGCATCACTGGGTGTAACCCAAAAAGAAAACAAAAAAAAAAAAAGAAAAGAAAAAGAAAAGAAAGAAAGAAAACCAGTGCCATGGGGGGGGGGGGGGGAGGAGAAGGGATGATTTCATCTAGGTAGTGGGTAAAGGCATGAATCTCCACCACACCAAGAGTTACTTATTTATGACTATTAGACACCTTTGTCCCTTGTGAGCATTTCTGTCTGCAGGTTCTGTTTCGCAACTGTATGCGTGGATCACTAAAAGAAAAGAGAAACTTGGAGCCTTTAAGCACCTCCTGAAGGAAGGATACTTGGATTCCTACCCCTCCATCACGAACTCTTCCGCCCTCCAACTGAGGAGACACAGCTCATTTTCTCCTCTCCACAGGCCCCTGGAACCGTTTCTAGTGAACTGCAACGATCTGGCCCCATGAACTCAGATAAGCAGCCAAGTCAGCAGCGACCATCCTGGCCTGCCTTATCTCCTGCTCCACTTCCGGTCGGCAACGCCTGACCTGCCACACTTCCCACTATCCTCAGCATGTGCCTGACCATCTCTTCATCATCAACAACCACGGGAGTGGCCACGTTGACATGGTGGAAGCCAGACATTCCTGCTCTGGAGTTTGCCCTCTGCACACACTCCTTCTTTCACAGGCCCGAGAGAAAGACTGAGCACGGAGGTCTGGTGGTCAAAGAGCCGCTTTGGGGCCTTCCAGTTTGGGATCAGCATAGCTGAGTCATGACAGGTGGCCCAGCTCCAGCACACGTAGGGATGCTCTCGCAGGCCCATCACCAGGAGGAAGCAGAGCTGATGGTGGAAGTTCATTAAAAAGAAAGGGCCTCGTGCCAACAAGTCAAAGGGCAAAACTTGAGCTGGCAGGTTGGCTTTTTGTGGCCAGAGCGATAGCACAGTGGGACAGTGGGGAAGGCATTTGCCTTGCAAATGGCAGACCCAGGTTCGATCCTCAGCATCCCATACGGTTCTCCAGGACCGCCAGGAGTAATTCCTGAATGCAGAGCCAGGAGTAACACCTGAGCATCACTGGGTATGACCCCCCTCCAAAGAAAAGAAAAGAAATATAAGTTTCTTGTTTAATTCATACAGGAATAATTTAATCCAAGGGGCAGGGGGAACAGAATATATCTATAATATAAATGAGGCCACTAACCATCACAGTGTTTATTGTGGTCCCCTGTTGTTTCATGCCATGATCTTAAATCAAGATCACAATATCCAAGGGAAAATTGACCTTGAGGCTTCTTAAAAACAGCAGAAAGTTCCTCGAGCACCACCAGCCTGGCTTTGAAGCCCGGCCTTGCTGTTCTCTGCTGGGGTGTCTTCATGAAAAACCCCAAGATGACAAAACCTACGTGAACTTACGATTCCTTATCTGTGGTTAATGTAGGACGAAAGCCCTCACTCTTTACAGAGATACTATAAAAAGCAGACACCAACTCCTGAAACACAGCATCTTCTCATAATCACCATTATCATGATGTAAAAATAATGACACCGGCAGCATTATTAAGGAGGGTAAGATGAATCTGACCATTTTCTATACAAATTCTGGTACTGGCACAGCTGACTGACCTGGGAATTTTTTTTTTTAATTTTATGTTCAGTGCCGTGGTTTACAATACTATTAATAATGGGTTTCCAAGCTTACAGTGTTCCAACACCCCATCCTCCACTGCAGACAATTTTTGAACCCTCCTTGTACTACAACTGAAAAGTATTAAAATATCTTTAAAATCCTGGGAAATACTTTAACAGAAGATTTAGTCTATGAACATAAAAAATTACTGCTTCCCAACTTCCTTAAAAGGATGAAATTAAGACGAAATAAAGATCAGAATGCAAAACAAGGAGGGTTGGGGTAAATCATTGATGTGATAGGCCAATCACTATTGCCAATTTAGATCAGTAAAGAGACATAATGCAAAGTTTCCAGATGTCCACATCTACCCTAAAATTTCTGCTTCCTTCTTCTCAAAACCCACCTCCCGGCAGTACCAAATAAAGACAATCTAAGGGCGAAGGTGTTAAAATTAGGAAAAATACAGAAAAGTATCGAGAAACATAAGGTCGTACATAAAACAACCCACCACTTGCTTTGCAAATAATAGCCGACATTATTTTAGTCAATGTTTGACAGAATGAGCACTGTGCAATTAACTGCGTAGGCATTCCACTCTTCTAGCAGTTTCCACTAGCAAGTAGGGGCAGGGCATAGAAGAAATGGATACAGGATGCTAAAACCCAGCTATGTGTCTTCATTGTTTAAAAGATACTGTTTGCAGAGAGAGAGAGACAGAGACAGAGACTGAGACCAAGACAGAGACAGAGAGAGAGGAGAGAGAGGAGAGAGAGAGAGAGAGAGAGAGAGAGAGAGAGAGAGAGAGAGAGAGAGAGAGAGAGAAGGAAAGTGCCTGCCAATGATATGGGCTGGGGGAAAGGTGGTGTGGGAGGGAAACTGGGGACATTGAGGGTAGGGAAAGTGCAGTGGTGGAGGGATGGGTGTTAGAATACTGCATGACTAAGACCATGATTTGTAACTGTATCTCATGGTGAGCTATAGCACAGCGGTAGGGGTTTGCCTTGCACGCAGCCAATATGGCCAACCCGACTTCGATTCCTCCGCCCCTCTCGGAGAGCCCGGCAAGCTACCGAGAGTATCTCGCCCACACAGCAGAGCCTGGCAAGCTCTCCGTGATATATTCGATATGCCAGACACAGTAACAACAAAGTCTCCAATGGAGACGTTACTGGGCCCGGAGCAAATAATTGAAAAAAAAAAAAAAGATACTGTTTGCTGGGGCTGGAGAAACAGTAGCTGATACGGTGCTTCCCTTGCAAGCAGCTGACCCAGGATCCATCCCCAGCACCCTATATATTTCCCCAAGCACCATCAGAAGTGACTCCTGAGCACAGAGTCAGAAGTAAGCGCTAGCACAACTGGTGTGGCCCCGAAACCCCCCCAAAATAAAAATTCTGTTTGTTAAGGAGTAATATAGAGTAGACCTTCTTATAGTTTGTTTTGTTTGGGGGCCACGCCCAGCAGTGCTCAGGGTCTATACCCAGTTTCGTGCTCAAGGGTCATTCGTGGCAGAGCTTGGGGAGGGGCGGGGGATGGTCCATGCAGTGCTGGGGTTCTATCACATGCAAAGCATACGTTCAGTCCATTGAGCTCTCTCTCACTATCTCTCTCTGGCCTGTCCAGATCTTTTAAAAAAGTATTTCATGTTAAGAAACACTTGATATTTAAAGGTAAAGGTAAAGGCCCTCCCGTTGATCGTCGATTTGCTCGAGCGGGCCCAGTAACGTCTCCATTGGAGACTTTGTTGTTACTGTGTTTGGCATATCAAATACTCTCGGTAGCTTGCCGGGCTCTCCGAGAGGGGCGGAGGAATCGAACTCGGGTCGGCCATGTTGGCCGCGTGTAAGGCGAATGCCCTACCCGCTGTGCTATCGCATATCTGAGACTGACATGGGTCCTGTGGAGAGGACAGCCCATTTTCAGAACATCCATACCTCCTGCATGTCCCTTTCTTAATGACCTTCTGATACTATTCCAATTAAAGCCCCAAACTCCGGATGAGAACATCCCTCCCATCCCACTCTTTGCTTCCCCATCTCGAGAACGTCCCGTCGTACCTACCATAATCGTGTGTTCAGGGAATTTGGCGCGGACCAGTTTCACAAACTCCACGAAATGTTCGGAATAGCCATTGGCCACATCCAGGCAAATGAACTTCACCTGGGGCACGGCTTCCAGGATGCTGCTCATCTTCTCCAGATCATTCTTGCCACTGCCCGAACTCACGGCGATATGCTGCACCGGAAGAGCCAAGAGGCAGGGGTGAAGGACAGTCCTCGAAGGCCAGCCCCCTGCTCTGCCCACAAACTACTCTTCAAACATGGCAAGGGGCTCTCGGAACATCACCATCACCAATCAGGGTGTACACTGCACACCAGCTCTGGATCACGAAATGCATGATGTGCTCATCACACTGTGGGCACTGGTATTATTAGAGTGTCACTAGCCTTAACCCTGGACTCTATGCGTGGCCTATTCTAGGGCACCAGATACTAAACGTTCAGGGACGCCTCTCCTTGCCTTGGCAACTGCCCCTCAAGCTCTCGATGGAGAACCCTGAAGCTGGAGCTGCCAGAGAGGAGGCCTCGTGAGCTCAGACTCTCTCCAGCCCAGGCTGTGTGGCCACATCCTGAGCAGGCGGGCGGGAAGGACAGGGTCTTAAAAACCTTCAAGTCCCAGGGCCAGAGCGACAGCACAGTGGGTAGGGCATATGCCTTGCATTCGGCCGACCTGGGTTTGATCCCCGGCATCCCATATGGTCCCCCAAGCACCTCCAAGAATAATTCCTGAGTGCAGAGTCAGGAGTAACCCCTGAGCATCGCTGGGTGTGACCCCCCCCAAAAAAACCCCAACAAAACACACACACACACACACACACACACACACACACACACACACAAACCTTCAAGTTCCTTCCCCAGGGGCCAGCTGGGAAAGGCATGCTGTGGACCTTCCCACCTGCACTTGGGCCTCACAGCCTTTCTGCCCCTCTCCAGAAATCTGCTCTTTCGGGGAAAGCCTTGGTTTCAGTGCAACTCAGCCAAACTGCGCCTTGGACAAAATAGTCCTATTTCCAGCTGTTTCTCTAAATCAGGGCTTCCTAAACGTTTCCCCTCACCATCCCCTTTTCACTGGAGAAGTGCACCAGCAGCGTTAATTGATTTTTTTTTAGTGTATTTTCCCACAGCGGGGGTGTTCAGAAAACTTAAGACTGTTGCCAAATTCTTTGATCCCAGCTGGGGTCGTGACCCACCATTTAGGGAGTCAGACTCTAAACCATTAACCATGATGCTGCCAGCTGGGCTTTTATTCCCGTGGAAGGTCTGATGAAAACCCCAACCTGCCCCTATCAGGACTTTGCTGCTTCTTCTGCTCCTTTTCACTTCTGTCTCACAAGTGGAGATTTATAGCATTACTGACTTCTTTTTTATTTTTTTTTTAGGTCTGGAGTGACAGCACAGCCCATGGGGAATTTGCCTTGCATGTGACCGACCCAGGTTCGATTCCTCCGTCCCTCTCGGAGAGCCTGGCAAGCTACCAAGAGTATCCCACTCGCAGGGCAGAGCCTGGCAAGCTCCCCATGGTGTATTCAATATGCCAAAAACAGTAACAACAAGTCTCACAATGGAGATGTTACTGGTGTCCGCTTGAGCAAATCGATGAACAACAGGAGTACAGGGCTACATTTGGGTTTTTTTTTGCTCTTTGGGTCACACCCAGCAATGCACAGAGTTACTCCTGGCTCTGCACTCAGGAATCACCCCTGGCAGTGCTCAGGGGACCATATGGGATGCTGGGAATAGAACCTGGGTTGATCCTGTGCAAGGCAAACGCCCTACCCGCTGTGCTATTCCTCTAGCCCCAGGGAAACATTTAAAAAAAAACTTTAAATCAGCTTTGAATTGGGCAGGAGCAGGGTAGCAAGTCAAACAGCCACACCTAAAGGGCAGGTTCCAATAATGATGAACTGCCTAGAACTCAATGTTCCTCAAACTTCTTACACAGAAGAGCAGGAATGATTTGATCTCTTGGAGTGAGAATTATTGGGTCACCAAAAAAATCACCTTCTCAGGAATCCAAATCCGCATGGAATTAATGCAAAGGGGAAATAACTTCCAAAGCGGACCAAGACAAAGTCACCGGCTGCACAGAAGGGAGAGAGTTGGGACCTGTGGATCCCATCAGCACCAAGGCAGAACCCCCCAACAGCACCAGGTGGAACTCAGGTGCTGTCTATTTGGGCTTTCTGATATTTTTCACACTGCTCCCGTTAAAAAATAATAATAGCTGTACTGAGATATAATCAAATACTGAACCGCGACTGCACCAGATTTTGTTTACCATATTCATCCTGCAGTTGATGGATGCCTGGGGGGTATTTCTACCTTTGGGTAATTATGAATCACACTACTATGATTATTGGTGAACCGGTTTTTGTGTGGACACGGGTTTCTACTTCTGGTGAGCACAGCTTGGAATGAAATTTGCTGGGACACTCTTACTTTAGCCCTGTGAGGATCTGCCGAATTAGTCTCATAATTTTCTCATGCCCACCAGCAAGGCAGGAAAGTTCTACTGCAAGAACACTTGCCACCATGGGTCTTTCGATCCCACCGGTTCCAGCAGGGGGACTGTTTATTCAACGCCACATCAATGTTTGTGATCAGGTTTTTCTGCATCCAAAAGGCATGCGCAGACTGCATCCAGTCCTGGCAGATAGCAAGGGTGTGCCCCACGCTCTCATAATACAGCACTTCCCCTTTCAAGGGGAACAAATGTAAATCAATAAAACCACCAATAATGGGCTGGAGCAATAGTACAGAGGGCAAGGCATTTGCCTTGCACATGGCCAAGTTCAAGTTCAATCCCCAGCATCCCATATGGTCCCCCAGCACTGCCAGGAGTAATTCCTGAGTGCAGAGCCAGGAGTATCCACTGATCATCACTGGGTATGACCCAAAAAGCAAAACAAACAAACAAAAACAAAAACAAACAATAATCTCTGCAGGTATTAACAAAAATCCCAACATTCCTTGCAGAAAAATCCTAATGCTTTCAAAATAGGGTACAGGACAGGCTTTTTTCAGCAGCAAATCCCCAGCAATGAGGAAAGGTCTCAGGCCATTCCTGGCTTCCCAGCTTCACACAGTTCCCCCAAGAATTGGACATCTATGTGTTGGCAATTTGAATCCATTACAACCCCTCAGGCTTTTCTTCTCCCCCCCCCCCCGCCCACCCCCCCCCGCCACCCCCCCCCACCCCCCCCCCCGCCACCCCCCTGCAGCATATGTCGCTGGCAGGAAAGCTGGAGTCATACCTGCAGGCATTCTGGGTGATTCCTGGCAAACTGCTTCCAGTCATCCAGGGAGTAATGCTTGTGAATCGCTGTAAACATGGTGTGCTAGGAAACCAAAAAGCAAGTTAGGGTGAGAAGTCAGAGGGAGCCCTCTCCCTTCCTCCAGATGGCTGGGGTGATACTCCAACTCTACACAGGCACCTGCCCACCTTCCCCCACCCCCCACCACACACACACACCCAAGCCTGCAGGAGTGACCTCTGACTGCAGTTCCTGGAATAAGCCCCGAAGAACACAGCAGGATGTGGCCCCAAACTAAAAATGGGGGTGGGGGAGTAGAAAAATCTGGTGTTTCTACCATTCAAACCATTCAGGAGTCCCTACCCTTCATGCTTCATTTGTCTTGAATAAACTCCTAAGAGCCAAAAACAAAGGTGTAAGCAGTGAAATCACACAGCTTCCGTTGCAATCTGAGCAGTCAGCCAGCGCTGAAGTTAGGAGGCAAAGAGGACTCAGCCCAGCACCTAGGTTAGGCAAGGGCTGCACCCACAGGAGGTCCCACAAAGAAGGGGTGAACCTCTATTTTTATGGGAAAGTCTTTCTTGTTGCGAACAAGTGACACAGTTTTTGCTGTCAGCTAAATCCATCAGGGAGCCAGTATTCTTGATGGAGGGAATCCTAAATTAGTGACCATCGCACAGGCAAAAAAAAAAAATGTACAGAGGATGGACAATGTGGAAATACTCTCCACAAGTTGCGTTTCCTCTTCACTCTAGTAGAAAACTACTGTGTTTCCTATAGTCACACAAGCTCCATGGGCAGAAATGCAATAGTGGCAGGGTGGGGTCGGGGGTAAAGGGCAGAGTTCAATGAGTCTGATTTGAGGTTCAGGCTCCTTCTCTAAAAACTCTCCACCCAAGGGCTCCTAGGAATGATAAACTCACATCGGGCACTCATGGGCCGTGTCAGTGGGGAGGGGAAGAGCACATCGAGCTCTGCACTAACCAGTGGAGATGGGAATCCATTAAGGCTATTGGCTGTTCCCTCACCTCACCCGCCTCTACATGAAATGCCCCATCCATTAGTATAAACAGTGACTGATCACAGAGCAAAGCCAGGACCAAAGAAGTGGGGTGGTGGAAGGAACAGCAATTGTTTTTCTTTTTTTTTTTTTTTTGCTTTTTGGGTCATACCCAGTGATGCACAGGGGTTACTCCTGGCTCATGTATTCAGGAATTACTCCTGACGGTGCTCGGGGGACCATATGGGATGCTGGGAATCGAAGCCGGGTCGGCCTTGTGCAAGGCAAATGCCCTACCCGCTGTGCTATCACTCCAGCCCCTGGAACAGCAACTCTTTAAGCAATTAATCTATTAGCTCCTGAGAGAACAAAAGGGAATGCCCTGCCACAGAGGCAGGGTGAGGTGGGGGGATGGGGGGTGGGAGGGATACTGGGATCGATGGTGGTAGAGAATGGGCACTGGTGGAGGGATGGGTACTCGATCATTGTATAACTGAAACCCAAGCACAAAAATTTGTAAGTCTACAACTGTACTTCATGGTATTTCACCAATGAAAATTAAAAAAAAAAATTATTAGCTCCTGGGCCCTACCAGATCATGAGGTTGGAGGTGAAACCCCCCCCACCCCCACCCTATTCTTTTTTGAAGCTCATCACTTGTTTGAAAGTTCATTCCTTCCCATCACTGGGCTGGCAATAAACCCTGGTCCTTATACTCGCTGCCCACTGCAAGCTCTTTTCCCTCACTGCAGTCATCATTTCCCTCACACTCATTTTCTCAAGCATCATCCCCTGAAACAGACAATCCCCCCCCCACCCCCCCCCGTGGGCATCAAAGCAAAGCTGTCATGCAGCGCCTGCAAATGGCTGTCTCTGCTGAGATGGAAGATTCTGCCCAGAAATAAAAGTCTTTGCTTTTATTTCCCTCTCTTAAAACCTGGTTGCCAGCCGGGCTCTTTGCCAGAAATGAGCCTGGGATTGGCCAAAGAGGGTATCAGCTGGGTCTGGGATTTGTCACTTTAAAGAGGGAAACAACTGTCTTATTCTGGAGCCGATGTGGATTTGATGTTGGGATCCGTCTCCACCAGGAGGGGTGTCCTGGGGAGGGGCCCTTCCTCACCCTGATGCATTTTCCTCACCAGTAAGAGAAACCTACATGCCACAGAGCTGAGGCAGCTTTAGGTCACTCACTCATTCTACACTATTTGCCAATGTCCTACACCATATCCAGAATTCAGCCCCCCCACCCCCCACCCAACTGGTGTCTTTGAAAGGAATGATTGGGGTCTAGCACACACAGTGTGGGAATACGGCACCCCTAAGCCAGATCACCAGTGACACTCTCGGGAACCCATGACACCTCAACACATTTGTTGAATGCTACAGCACAGGCTGGATCAACAGCAGCTGAGCTGTCATTTCAAAAGCGCTGTCACATGTCTATCATGGCTTCATCACATGGTTCAACTACTTTGCAGATTTCTCTCCATCTCTCATTTCCAGAATGCTCAAGGACACTTTCAAGGGATGGAGGCAGATGCAGACCGCCTTGCGGAAAACAACAAAATCCAGACCCCCAGACACAAAGCCCACCCACGTTCTAAGATCCAAGAAGGGAGATGGGGTTCCCGCCAGCCAGAACCAGTCGCTGAGATGAACTCTCTAGCCCTCTCCTCTTTCTACATCTGAGCAGCCCTGGAGAGGGAGTCTGTCCCACCTGTGACATCACCACCGCCATCTCGAATGTCCCCACTGTGTCCATGTTGGCCACGATGATGGGGATCCCTGAGTAGGTCTGCTTGGAGTTTCGAAACGTGAAGGTTCGCTCAAGATCCACCTGAGAGGCAAGAGAGAGAGAGAGAGAGAGAGAGAGAGAGAGAGAGAGAGAGAGAGAGAGAGATAAAGAAGTGCTTTGCTTGCGGTGGGGGTGGGGGGGGGGGGGTTGTGCAGAATTGCTTGAGTTAGGAGGCAGTGGGGAAATCCACAAAGGCTGGCAACGTCCCTCGGGCCCCGGGATTCCCCAAACAACTGGCCACAAAGACCCCCGGGGAAGCAAATGCAGGGAACAAATTATGATGGGGATGAGAAATGAGTCGGCCTCCTGACCAGCCTCCGGTGCACGGCCCCCAGATGTTTTGCCATTAAACCCAGCCCCCCTTCACCCAGGAAGGGCTCACAGTTCTCTGCCTCTCCAGGGTGCTGGAGCTCTGTGTCCAGGTTGGTTCATAGGACTCATTACCCGAAGACATACATGTGGTCAATTCCCTCTTCCTACTGCTGGAGCAAGCACTCCCCATGGAGAGGATGAGGGGATTGGGGGAGGAGTACCCTACTCTTCCTGGCCAACACGACCCTCCACAGCCCTCCCTTAAATCCCCACCTGCTGCCAGAACCCCTCAGCCAAATGCACCCTGCATAGAGCAGAAAAGCAGGAATGCCTTCACCTTTCAACCTCCTCCAAGTATGCTCCTCTTTCAAAGAGCTGGGAGAGGGCAGCGCAACTGTGGAACTCTTTAGGTAAATATTGTTCCTGGGACTTGCCAACAGCCAGAGGGTGGATCCTCCAAATGCTCTCGTGACCCCAACTGTAAAATCTTATCACGCCGAAGGTTGTATGTTCACGGGCTCACTGGACGGCACTGTTTCACCACCTGCGTTCGGTGCTCTTGAGCCACTGTGTGTGGCCTGGATCGGAACGGCTGTTGGCCAAGGGCAGACGGAAGAAAAAACGGGGGCCAGGCCGGTCTATATCAATAGTAGTTTATTCCAATCCTCTTCACTCCTGTCTTTCTCTGCCTCCTTCTCTCCTGGGCCCCAGTCTTGGAAGCTCTCTCCTTCTGGCTCTGACTCTGGATCTCTGGAGCCCGAGCTCTCTCACTTCTGACCCCCTTTTCCGAGCTTACGTCTTAGTTTATATAGCAGTCACATAAGGCGGTGACATAAAGGTGGGTTGAATACTGACGAATCAACAAAGAGAGGTAAGACCACTCCTCCAGGAGATTAACTCAAGGATAAAATCTCATTTACAGAGATTACTTCAGATTACTAGGAGATCCACCCAAGGGTGGGATCCCAACAAGGGTGTGTTCTTCCTTCAGTTAGTAATCTACTTAAATAGTTGTAATAAATCTACTTCTAATATTTCTAGCAATGTCATTCTGTATGAGCACAGTAAGAGATATAAATTTAGTTTGGTTCTTCCTGAGAACATCTCACTATACATTTCGCAGTCCTCAGGCCAGGTTAATCTTCCTAGCTCCAGCAGGGTCCTAGTCTCATCGTTACTTACTTTTGGATCATGACAGCATTTGTCCATGATCATGCCCTCAACTTATAGTTGAATATCGTGGCTCTTTGGCCTGGCCCATTTCGATGCCAGGGTAGCTCACTGCTTGCCCTGGGTCCATTCAGTCCCTCGTCGGGACCCTGCTTTTGGGGTGTTAGGAACTAAGGGCAACTGAGTCAAGAAATCAGATGCCCAGGAGTAAATATTATTCGGAGTCAATCAACTCCCAAGTTACAAAGCATAATATTAACTGTCTTCCTGTGTCCACACAGAAAGGACATTGCTTACAATACAAGTTCAGTGTTCTTAGATGGGTGTGACCTGACAAACCTAAGCTACCTGAGGAAGGACAAAAGAGTGTTATCCTACACCCAACTTTGCAGCCTTTCTGACTAGCTCAGCTCCCAGGAGCCGAGAGCAAGAGCTCGGCCGGTGTGGCAGGCTCTGGGTCTGAGTGACATAGTCCAGTTGGCAGGGAGCTTGCCCTGAACGCAGTCAACTGACCGGGGCTCGAACCCCCGCATCCCATATGGTCCTGCTGGGAGTGATTTCTGAGTGCACAGTAAGGAGAGACGCCTGAGCGTTACCTGGCGTGGTGCAAAACCGAACAAAACACCAGTGTGGAGGACTCGGCAGAGATGCTCACAAAAGCTGGCCATGTCAAAATCATTTTTATTTTTGTCCCCAGGCAGACCCCAGGCAGATTCTCTCGAGTGAATGTTCCCAGCCTTCCCCCGCCTGCTTTAATCCTTGCAGGTCACCACCTGCCAGCTCCACGTCCCACTGGGTTTATGCTTAGTTTTGGCCCGTGCGGCCACTGCGCAGGAATCCAGAGGCCACAGAGATGCAAGTGGGAGTCTGGGCAGCATCAGGTGGTTCTTCTGGACCCCTGCTGCCTGGCCCTGCCCGGTTCTGGTTCCAGCCTTACCCTGGTCTCCAGCCTTATCCCCTCTCCACTTTGGCAGCTGCTGCCTCCAGACCTCTTTCATGCCAGGATGCCTCGATTCGATTCCCTTATTTGATTTCTGGTCCACACCCAGAGGGCACTGGGGAAACCCAGGCTGTGCCAGGTATTGAACCACGGTCAGTCGGTCAGTCGCATGCAAGGCAAGCACCTCCACCTAAATCTCTCTCTCTCTCTCTCTCTCTCTCTCTCTTCCTTTTTTAAATATTCAGCACTATAATATTCAGCACTGGGCTGGAGCGACAGCGCAGTGGGTAGAGTGTTTGCCTTGCATGCGGCCGACCCACGTTCAACTCCTCTGCCCCTCTCGGAGAGCCCGGCAAACTACCAAGAGTATCCCGCCTGCACAGCAAAGCCTGACAAGCTCCCTGTGGCATATTCGATATGCCAAAAACAGTAACAACAAGTCTCACAATGCAGATGCTACTGGTGCCCGCTCGAGCAAATCGATGAACAGGAGGACAGTGCAATGCTAATATTCAGCACTCGTTCCTTTGACTGGTGAATACAGTCTGTAAAGAAGTGGGCACATCCCCCAGGAGAGCAGGTTAGAGAACACAGATGTGCTTCTACCATGACATGGCCTGAACCCGAGTCTCAAGAGCGCACAGCAAAGGGCCCCTTCCCACCACGGTTCTTCCGCATCTTCACCCCTTCTCTGTTTTCCATGGAGATTGGCTCTCCCTGGCATGGGGACAGCTTGGGCTGTGCAGTGGCTCTGAGTCTCTGGCTTCTCCATGCAGGGCTCTGAGACCTCAACCTCCAGGGTGAGCAATAGGAGGATGCTGGCTGCACTGGCCTTTGGCTGCACTGAGGGCAGACACTGACTGTTGGGTGCAGGGAGGGCAGACACTGGCTGTTAGATACAGTGAGGGCAGACACACAGTGAGGGCAGGCATACAGTGAGGGCGGACACTGACCCTTACCTGAAGGGAAGGCAGACACTGGTCCTTACCTGTCAGGAGGGCAGACACTCATCCTTACCCTTACCTCCCTTACCTGCAGGGAGGGCGGACGCTGGCCCTTACCTGCAGGGAGGGCTGAAAATGACCCTTACCTGCAGGGGCAGACACTGGCCCTTACCTGCAGGGAGGGCGGACACTGACCCTTACCTGCAGGGAGGGCAGACACTGGCCCTTACCTGTCAGGAGGGAGACACTGATCCTTACCCTTACCTCCCTTACCTGCAGGGAGGGCAGACACTGGCCCTTACCTGTGAGGAGGGCAGACACTGACCTATACCTGCAGGGAGGGTAGACACTGGCCCTTACCTGCAGGGGCAGACACTGGCCTTACCTGCAGGGAGGGCAGAGGAGCTGCTGTGGTTGCAGGAGATGTGTGTCAGAGAAAGGAACCCTTCTCCTCGTCCCTTGTTATAACTCTTGGTTTTATGTCAGCAAGGGCCCCTTCCACATTCTGGAAGGGAACTGGAGGGGTCTCTCAGTTCAAAGGCTCTGCCCCTCCACACCCGCAGACCTCCTGGCTGCACAGGCTAATGTCCGCCTGACTCCTCAGACTCGGTTATTCTTAAACGCCTCACAGGATGCACAGGGCAAACCACTCTCTGCCCCGGCCCAGGTCAGAGAGGCTGTTTCTGGCGCTCCAAAGCCCGGGGATAGCATACAAAAACCGCCCCTTTTCTAAATCAACCATTCCTTCCTCTCTCCTCTCGACCACAAGACAGATTCCTCCTGATACTGAATTCTAAGAGGAGAAATAAAATGATCTTCCCTGGCCTTATCCACTCCCTTTCCTGCCCCCACTAGACCAGCTGTTCGCCGAGTGACCCAAAGTATTTTAAACATCCCAGCCTCCCAGGAATGAAACCTGGCATTTAATCCGCCACAGCCGGTGAGCACCCCGAACCGAGCAGGGCTTCTTCAACTGTTTTCCACATGCAACCCCTCTTCACCCCAGAAATTTCTATGCAACCTCAGATAGACAGATATATAATAAAAATTGACATACAAATCCAACATTTACTATCAACCCTAAAGAAATTTATTTTTTAAAAAAGTTACCTTGGGGCTGGAGCAATAGCGCAGCGGGTAGGGCATTTACCTTGCACGCGGCCAACCTGGGTTTGATTCCCAGCATCCCATATGGTCCCCCGAGCACTGCCAGGAGTAATTCCTGAGTGCATGAGCCAGGAGTAACCCCTGTGCATCGCCAGGTGTGACTCAAAAAGCAAAAATAAATAAATAAATAAATAAGTTACCTGGTCCCATAAAGGGTTGCAAGTCACATTTTAGGAAACTAGAAAAATGGGGGCTGGAGAGATAGTACAGTGGGCAAAGTGCGTGCCTTGCACACAGCTGGCCCCGGGTTCTATCCCCAACACTACAGGTGATTTTGCAAGCCCCGCCGGGAGTGATCCCTGAGCAGAGTGAGGAATAAGCCCTGAGCACGGCCAGGAATGAACCCCAGACCCCCCCGCCCTCCCCCCCAAAAAAAGCAGTAAGGAAAACAAGCCCCTCTGAACACCACTGGCTAAGCCTGAATGGAATCTGTAATGTGTGCCCTAAACACACCTTGAGGAAAACCTGTCAGTCCTCAGGCTGACATTTCCAAGCCCAAGTACGAACTGAGCGTTTGTCCCGTGCCCATCTGCCATGCTGCTAAATATTCCAGTGTCCTGAGTCAGGCGAGCAGGCTGCTACGTACATTTTGTTCCAGCCTCCCACCTCAACAAACAATTTCATTCGTGTTGGAGAACACCAAAACACGATGGTGGGGGGGGGGGGGGGGTTGGGGCGGTTTGGGCCGGGAGCTTCCGCACACCAACAGCCAATTCTTATGCACACACACACAAACACACACACTCACACAATCACACACAAACACACATATACACATACACACATATACACACATACACACATGTACACATACAAACACACATACACACATAAACATACACACACTCCTCTCTCTCTCTCTCTCTCTCTCTCTCTCTCTCTCTCTCTCTCTCTCTCTCTCCCTCTTTCCTTCCCTCTCCCTCTCCCTCTCAGAAGCAGCATGGAGCACTGGAACCACCTACCAAAAAGGGGGAGAGGCCCCGGCAGGCCTGGGATTAAGCACCACGTCCAGGTACTGAAGTCCAGGCAGAGCTGTAGAGAGGCTGCCCTCGGAGAATACAAGCATCCTCCAGAGAAAGAGGCCGGAACAGTGTAGGCCGCAACTGCCCAGACCTATGCACAGCTCCAGTTCAACATGATTCTCCTTAAAGAGATGATTTATCTGTCCCACTGGTCCCCGTGGGCTTGCCTTTCCTTGCTCTAGCCCCGGTGCCTCCAAAGAGTGCAGAGTCATCTGTGTTGAGCTAAGGGGGGTCACTGAGTTTGGGCCTCCAGCCACCCCAGGGCAGTGATCAGTGGGATCAGTCCAACCCTCCGAGGGTGCCCTGACTGCGGGTAGCTTCTTGGGTCCTCAAGATCCAGACAAATCTTCGCAGAGTCAGAGAGTCCCGGGATCCACCCTGAAAAGGGGTCCTGAGGCCAGTCCTGGGCACCTGCATGCCCCCCAGAATCAGCAGGGAGATCATTTCTGAAACATAAACATTCAGGTCACCCCAAACAATGAACGAGGATATCGATGCTGGGAAATGGCACGTGTGAGTCCACTTCATGCAGTCACCAAATCCACACAAACCCTCTGCGAAGCAAAATTCAGAATCGATGGTGGTAATTAATTGGGTCCCCCACCCCCAAAGGAGGTCTTAACTCCCGAGGGTGTGATCATAAGCCTCTGGGGACAGGCAGAGTTACAAGGAGGTCACGCACATGGGACTGAACCTAACAGGACAGGAAAAAAAGAGAGCGAGAAAATGTGAATGCAAGGTGCACAGAAAAGAGAACGTGGCGGGCAAATGAAGACAGAGGCCAAGAGGATGCGGCAACAAGCCAAAGACACCAGGACTGCCTGGAAGCACCCAGAGCCCAAAGGCCTGGATCACACCCACCTCAGTTTCCAGTCAAGACCACCCCTGCCTCCTCCTCAGCTGGAGATCCTGGTTGCTCATACCTTACCATAGCCTCATCAGGAAATGAAACCTGACCCAAGGTAATGAAACAATCAGTGCCAGGCTTAGACTAAGAGCCTCCACTTCTCGTTAGGCCAGGCTCCCAGGCTCCAATTCCCTGAGGCCTACCTACCTGTTGGGGAGCTTTGCTGGACTAGGGCTTTCCTCACTGAGCCACTGGCCAAAAAAAAAACATTCCTACCCAGATTTGGTTCTGGGGAAATTCTTTGCTTCTCTGTTTTGGCTTGGGGGCCACACCCAGCGGTGCTGAGGGCTTCCTCCTGGCTCTTTGCTCAGGGATCAGTCCTGGAGAGGCACAAAGACCATCTGGGGTGCTGGGGACTGAACCACGGTTGGCCACCAAAAGTCCTATTGGTCTTACGCAGAGTCCTAGCTCTCTGGCCTATGGCATTTAATAAGGCCTCCATGCTCTTTCTGCCTGGGTCCCTTCCTTGTCTTAAGGCACAAGAAGGGGACCAGAGTGATAGTCCAGTGGGGAAGGTGTTTGTCTTGTACACAGCGAACCTAGGCTTGATCCTGGCATCCCATCTGGTTCCCCAAATACCACCAGGAATAATTATGAAATACAGAGCCAGGAGTAACTCCTGAGCATTGCCGGGTGTGGTCCCCCAAAACAAAACAAAACAAAATACTTTTTTTTTTCCTGCTTTTGGGGTCACACCCAGTGATTACTCAGGAATTACTCCTGGCGGTGCTCAGGGGACAACATGGTATGCCGGGAATCAAACCCAGGTCTGTCAGATGAAAGGTAAACGCCTACCTGCTGTACTATCACTCCGACCCCAAAATAAAACATCTTAATCAAAGACAAGGGAAGGGCAATAAAGTCAGAAACAGGGGCCTCGGAGAGAAAACTGCATCTGGAAATGATAAAAACGCTTTGAGGCCAGAGCAACGGTACAGAGCTAGTGAAGGGTATGGACAATGGAGGAATAAGTGAGGTGGCAGCTTTGCTGGTATAAGCCTGGAGAGGCCAGTAGGCCATCCCCACCTTCTGCCCTTCTCCCCTTTGCCCTCCTGTCGCCGTCCTGTGGCTCTACAGCAGGGTCCAAGGCCCGGAGCAGGAGCCAGTGGCCTCTCTCTCCTCTCTGCTGCTCCATCCGCAGCCCACTTGGAAGCAAACAGGGACCTCCTGTGCAGAGAGATCAAGTAGGTGGACAAACAAAACTCTCCCTCCCCAGGGCTGGAGAGATAGCACAGCGGGTAGGGCATTTGCCTTCCACATGGCCAACCTGGGTTCGATCCCCAGCATCCCATATGGGCCCCCCACCCCCAAGCACTGCCAGGAGTGATTCCTGAGTACTTGAGCTAGGAGTAACCCCTGTGAATCGCTGGGTGTGACCAAAAAAACAAAACAAAACAAAACAAAGCCCACCTAAAAAAAATAAATCTCTTCCTCCCCAGCTCCTAGACGGGCACGTTCCCTCTCAGGGCTCCTCGCAAACCGCCACCTGGTGAGTCTCGATGTGTACAGTGGGTATCACTCATGCCACAGCGGGTATCATTCTGCAGCGGGTATCGCTCATGCCACAGGGCACGCACTTCAGAACTTCACGGCAGGGAGGGGGACCAGCCAACAGGAAAGCTGGGGCCTCAGCAAACCCAGATAGAACCATCAGGGACCAGACCTGCAGGAGATCCAGGCCAGAGGCAGGGGAGAGTGCAGGGGAGGGGAGGGGGGGCGGTCAGACAGCGAAACCAGGAAGAGAGGTAAGTGCAAAGGCAATGCCGGGTGACTCCAAACTCCAGGCACAACAGAGCTGGCACACTCCCACCATCATTTCTCAAGGGCACAGACCTCCCGCTCGGGCCGGCCACGGCAAGGTGCCTTTGGAAGTTGAAACGACACACCTCCTGGCAAATCCCACCCAAATGAGAGACCCAAGGATGTGTAAGACATCACACAGTTCCCCAGGAAGACAGAGCTCCGTTCTGAGGACCTAAATTCTGTTTTGTGTTCTGAACATATGCTTTGTTTTGTTTTTTCTGGTTCCAAAAAAAAAAAAGTACATGCACTTGTTTGAAACATTTTCTTCTTCACATGTGTCTTAGGGAATGAATTGGGAATAACAAATATCCAAATGTCCCCACTCCCACCCCCAATTGGCCTGGCCCATCGGCAGCTTTTACATCCAGAGGCCTGGGCCTGCCAACCAAACTGTTTGTCTTCCACAGTTTGGCAGCACCTGAAAAGACAGACATTGGGGGACAGGGTGGGGGCCCACGGATAGTCCCTCAGGATCCCAGGGAGGGTGCTGGGTGATGAGACACAGGCCTCCCTCCCTCCCTCCCTCCCCTCTTCCCACCCCATGTCCCAGTCTCTCCCTTCTCTGGTGCCCACAGGCCAGCCCTGTCCCCCCTGGAGGTTCTGGGCTCGGGCTAATCCAAACAGGTCCCAGCTGGCTGGCGGCACCAGGCCCTGCAGTTGGGCCTGGCACGCGCCGAGTCCTGTGCAGGGTTGGATTTATTTATGGTAGCTGGGATGGGACACCACCACCAGCCCGCAGCGACAGCAGGCCGGGAGCTCTCTACCGGGACCAGACAGAGCCCGGGGCGGCCCGCAAGGGAGGGGGAGGAGGAGGGGAACGCATCTTTCAGAGAAACTTCTAGATCCTTCAAGGTTCGACCTTCCACTCCCCCCCCCACCCCCGCCACCCCCGCCGGGGTATCCCTCCCTGCCCCCACCCCCACCCCCACCCCCGGGCTATTTCCAGGCTGGTCTGCACCTGCAGCGCGGGGCGCGCGGCAAAAGGCTCCACAAGGCACGGCCAGCAATCAACCAGAGGCTGCCCGAGGCTCGGCTGGACTTTGGAAGTCCACCCCAGCGGGGTGCCCCGGCGCCTCGGGTCCCCTCGGCCCCAGCAAAGCCGCCCGGGACGCGGAGCGCGGTGCCAGCACGGTGCCCGGGAGATCGGGCGATTCCCCAGGATCCAGGCATTTTCGAGAGCCCACACCACCACCACCACCACCCACCCACCCACCCCTACCCCCCACCCCGGCCCTTAGGCCCCCCGTGGCCGGCTCGGGTGCCCCCTGCAGCGGCGGATCTCAGCACTGAGTCACCGCCGCCGACCGCAGGGCTCCGTCCTGTTTTCCTCCGCTTCCCCTCGGACGCCCCTGCCCGCCGGCCCTGGCGCCTCTCCCGCTGCCCGCTGGCCCCGCTGGACGCCACCGGGGTCCCCCCCCCCAACCCCACCACCGGTCCACCCCACCACACCGACTTAAGAAATTGCTGAGCCCCCTTCCAGGCACCTTCCTCCCCTGTCCTGGCAGAGAACCAGCCCTTCTCCCGAGGCCGGCAGGGAGGAGGAGGACAGGGCGGGCCGGCACCCCCCTCCGGCACCCGGCAAAGCTGTCAAAGTTCCCAGCTCCCGCCGCTGGCCAGTGTCAGTGACCCTCGGCACCGCGCTCCCCGGGAGGGAAGGGAGAGGGGGAGATGGCCCCCTACCCCCACCTCCCCACCCAGCACGGCTCGGTCGGGAGACCCACCTCGGATCGGCTCTTGAGGCTGCTCCGCTTGGGTCGCAGCAGGACATCCTTGAAGTCCAGCTTGAGGTCCGCATCGATGCGGGGCATGGTGCGTGTCGGCGCGCTGCGGGCCCGGCGCTGTGGCTCGGGCAGCTCCTTCCTGCAGCGCAGGGGCGGGGCCTGGACGCGGGTGGGCGTGGCCGCGATGAGCGGGGGCGGGACGGGGCGTGGTCTATAGTGGGCGTGGCCGGGCGGGAGGAGGGCAGCGCGATGTGTGTGTGGGGGGGGGGGGGGGGGTTGTGCGGGTGGGTATACCAGCCCGGATCTGGGGCGCCTGCACGCGTGGAGTTGGCACCATCGGAGGTGACCCGGGCTGCGTTCTGGCTCCAGCCCCCGGCACTCGGAATAGAGAGATGATGAGGACAGGGGATCATCGGGGTGGAGGGGATGGTTAGGAAGTGACCGCTGTGACTTTTTTTCACCAGACACCGTTTCCTCTCCAGTCTCTACAACGTTAATTATACAGTGACTGGCTTGGGACAGGGGATGGAGGGACTGGGGTGGGTGTGGTCCTGCACCCCTTGGTCCTGCCCCAGAGCTCCTGAATAAATGAGGAAATTTATTTGCGCCTGCCTGGTCCCTGGGGAACAGCCATTCTCAGGGACATTTGGCTTCTCCCTTATTTCCAGCCCACTGTGCCCAGCGGGTGCTGAGCTTGGAGTGGGGACAGCTAAGGAAATGCCTCTAAGCAGGTTTAATCGATGTGGCAGCAGTGGGATTGTCTGGCAAGTCTGTACTTTAGAAGTTTACTTGTTTGACTATTCCAGTCGCCTGATCCTGGGATTTGAAAGATATGAGAAATTGCTGAAGTATTTCTGTAGAAGCTGGTCTATACTTTAATTCCCTAACTGACCTCGCTGGAGTATAGACCGGAGTGAAGTTAAGGAAATAGGAACCATCTTGCAAACAAGGAAAAAGAGGGTCATATAAACAAAATAACTTACCCACGGTCCTAGCAAAGTTAAATATAATCTCCCGGTGCTTAAAACTCCAGGTAACCTTTACTAAACAGTCCTTTGCCTGGATCCAGAATCAGTTCCTCCACTTTCTTCCAGCTAAACTTCAAAATTGGAATTTTTAAAATTCTCTCCTCTTAGTTTTTCTAGGCGTCCATTTTCTCAAAGGGTAAGGAAACCGTGGATATAAAGCCTTCATGCTGTTGTGAGAATTCATTTGTGTGTGTGTGTGTGTGTGTGTGTGTGTGTGTCAGAGAGAGAGAGAGAGAGAGAGAGAGAGAGATAGAGAGTCCCCATAGTTGTATAGTTGTACACCAAATGATACCTAGTTGGGATCAGAGGCTACATTATTTGCATTTTGCTTTATATCCTCCAACAAGATTGCTGATGGCAGCAGGCAGGAATCATGCTCTGCTATTCTTTCAGCTGTCTTCCCCTGCTCGTTTTGAACTCAGGTTTGCTGTGACTGACTCGAGAGACAGCCCATCACTCAGTGAACACAAAAGCCAGCTATTGTAAGAGATTTTTTTTTTGAAGCAAGATAGTTTTATTGAAACTTAGAAAGATGCAAGGGGAGAGAAAGAAGGATGTGTTCGAGAGAGAACACAGGCTTCTCCAGAGTGCAAAAAAATCAAGTGAAGAAATAAAAAGCTGAGCAAGAGAGGTACTTCCGTGCTCACACGAGAACAGGGGCTTAAGGAGCAGGCTTAGTCACCATCTGAATCCCTCTCCTTCCTCTCACTACCTCCTTAGCCCCACTGTAAGTTCTCGACACAGGAAGGAAAGGAAACGTATTAGAGAGTGAAAGTAACCAGTTAGTGAGGCCAGGGGAATGTTTATAACCTTTATCAGATGCTTGAGAGCAAGCCAGAGGTGCCGCTGATATTCAAAGCGGTAAATGGGAATCAAATTTTGATACTGAGTTCCTAATTAAAAGCATAATAGAACCAAAGGGAGAGATCAAAGGGCTGAGCACATGCTTTGTATGCAGGAGGCTTAAATTCTTCTCCCTGGTATCATACAGTCTCCTGAACATCACCAGGACCCCAAACCTAGAGCTGCACTCATTGCCAGGTGAAGCCCCCAAAACAAAATGAAACAAACTCCCCTCCCCACCAAAGTTAAATAAAAGCAAAGTGTATTTACTATATGGGATAGTTTAATTTAGACATTAAATGGTACGGTGTTTATGGGATGAGGTTGGTGAGAAAGAATCTGGGATTCCTAGTTATTCTAGAGCAGTACGATATGAAGAGAAGAGAGCCAGTATGATGGAATATTCCAGGAGGTGGGGAAATAAACCTTTTAAAACATCTGTCTTAGGTAAACAGCAAGCTGATGTTATTGTCTTAAAACAAAAGAGATGCCTTAAGCTGCTCATACAACTTGCCCACGCCCTTTCTGTTAGAATAGAAACAGAAACTCACTTCATAGATAGGTTCCATTCCCTCACCTTTTAGAATATTCCACCATACCTGTTCTCCTCTCAGATACAAAATGATATTTGTATGGCTTCACTGTATCCCAGATTTGCCCATTTAGAATTTACACTTCTAAACATCCTTTGCACCTTCTATATGTGCCTCTGTACTCTTCTCTACATGTATAATAATAGGGATCACCTGTCAGTGTAAAAGCTTTATGTCAAAGTTCTCACTCAGAATCCAATTTGTTAACATGGTATTGTCAAGGGCTGGAGCGATAGCTTTTGCCTTGCACGCAGCCAACATGGATAACCTGAATTCGATTCCTCTGCCCCTCTCAGAGAGCCTGGCAAGCTACCGAGAGTATCTCACTTGCACAGCAAAATCTGGCAAGCTACCTGTGACGTATTCAATATGCCAAACACAGTAACAAGTCTCACAATGTTACTGGGCCCGCTCAAGCAAATCGATAAACAACGGGAGGACAGTGATCAGTGAACAGTGATCAGTGGTGTCAAAGGGTGGAGTGGTTCCAAAGTTTTCTTGGGAAGATAATGTCAATTTATGTGAGGTAAATTGCACTTGGTCATAGTGCATGATCCTTTTATATACTGATAAACTCATTTTGTTCTTCTTTTGTTAAGGATTTTTATATCCAAATTCATAAGGGACATTAGTCTGGGCATTTCCTTTGATGTCTCTACCACTGGATTATCAAAGCAGCCCCCCCCTTTTTTTCCCTTAAATTTTTATTAGTGAAACACCATGAGGTACAGTTGTAGACTTACAAATTTTTGTGCTTGGGTTTCAGTTATACAATGATCAAGTACCCATCCCTCCACCAGTGCCCATTTTCCACCACCACTGATCCCAGTATCCCTCTCACCCCCCCATCCCCCCATCCCACCCTGCCTCTGTGGCAGGGTATTCCCTTTTGTTCTCTCTCTCCTTTTGGGTGCTGTGATTTTCAAAAGTGGCATTGAGTGGCAATCACGTTGGGTCTATAGTTTACTTTCAGCATGCTTCTCCCATCCTGGGAGGATCCTCCCAACACCCTTTATTTAGTGCTCCCTTCTCTATCTGAGCTGCCTTTTCCCCTAGCGTGTGCAGCTGTCCTCAAAGCCATGGAGTAATCCTCCTGGTACTTATCTTGGCTATTCTTGGGTGTTAGTCTCCTATTTTGTTACTTTATGTTCCCCAGATGAATGCAACCTTTCTATGTCTGTCCCTTTCTGACTCATTTCGCTTAGCATGATACTGTCCATGTAGTACCACTTGTATATAAATTTCATGACTTCATCTTTTCTAAGAGCTACATAGTACTCCATTGTGTAGATGTACCAAAGTTTCTTTAACCAGTTATCTGTTCTCGGGCACTCAGGTTTTTTCCAGATTCTAGCTATTGTAAAGAGTGCTGCAATGAACAAATAAGTGCAGATGTCACTTCAACTATACTTTTTTGCCTCTCTGGGATATATTCCCAGGAGTGGTATTGCTGGGTCAAATGGGAGCTCAATTTCTAATTTTTTGAGGATCATCCATACTGTTTTCCAAAAGGGCTGAACCAGTCGGCATTTCCACCAGCAGTGAAGGAGAGTCCCTTTCTTGCCACATCCGTGCCAACACTGGTTGCTTTTGGTCTTTTGAATGTGGGCCAGTTTCTGTGGTGTGAAATGATATCTCATTGTTGTTTTGATCTGCATCTCCCTGATGATTAATGATGTAGAGCATTTTCTCATGTGCCTTTTATCCATTCGTATTTCTTCTTTGAGAAAGTTTCTGTTCATTTCGTCACCCCATTTTTTGATGGGGTTGGTTGTTTTCTTCTTGTGAAGTTCAACCAGTATTTTGTATATCCTTGATATCAGCCCCTTGTCGGAAGTGTATTCGGAGAATATCCTTTCCCATTCTGTAGACTGTTTTTGTATTTTGGTCACTGTTTCCTTTGAGGTGCAGAAGCTTCTTAGTTTAAGATAGTCCCATTTGTCTATCTCTGTTTTCACTTACTTGGCCAGTGGCGTGACATCTTTGAAGATACCATTAGCTTCAATGTCATGGAGGGTTTTGCTAACTTTGTCTTCAATGTACCTTATGGATTCCGGTCTGATGTTGAGGTCTTTAATCTATTTTGATCTTACTTTTGTACTTGGTGTTAGGGACAGATCTAAGGCCACTTTTTTGCATGTAGCTGTCCAGTTTTGCCAGCACAATTTGTTAAAGAAGCTCTCCTTGCTCCACTTCACATTTCTTGCCCCCTTATCGAAGATTAGATGATCATATGCTTGGGGGGAGATGTCAGTATATTCGACCCTGTTCCATTGGTCTGCAGCTCTGCCTTTGTTCCAGTACCATGCTGTTTTAATTATTACTGCTTTGTAGTAGAGTTCGAAGTTAGGGAGGTTGATTCCTCCCATTTCCCACCCGCCTCCCCCAGAATTGCTTTAGCTATTCGTGGGGGCTTACTGTTCCATATAAATTTCAGAAGCATTTGCTCCATTTCTTTGAAGAATGTCATAGGTATCATAATAGGGATTGCACTGAATTTATATAGTGCAAAGCAGCCCTTTTTAATGTTAATTCAAAATGTATATTTGAGTGGTTGATTCAACACAATAAGTGAAGTATATCAACTCGTCCAACTATGTCCAACTATGTCCATCATTGGAACCTAAACTATGCCCAACCCTGTCCATCACTGGAACCCAAAGTTTCTCATACAGCATTTGCAAAAGTC